TAAACTTTTATTTTGGCGGAAAACTCCAGCTTCTGTGAAAACAGGTTTACAAACATTACTAATTTAATGAAATACTGTAAACATTTGCCCATTAAAATTTGGAAAATTATGCAAATGTGCAAATTATGTATAACTGGTGGCCGTTGCATTCCCAAACGTGCTAAACTCAGCACATCCAATAACGGAGTTCACTGCATTCACTGTGAACGGAGCCGCTCTGAGGCGCGGAAAACACCGGATCACCAGCCGATCGCGTGCGCTGCGCAATTTGTGCGCTTCACTTTGAAACAAGCAGCGCAAACAGACTTGATAAGTCATATTACGCTTTCGGTTTTAATTCGTTTGACCGATACTTGCCAAAGCAATGGCGTGAAACACAACGTTAAAGAACTTTTATGTTATGTTTTATGTTTAAGTATAAATATATCTTATATCTTCGGTTTATTATGAAACTGTGGCGGGACGCCACAGTCTAGTTAATGAATGGGAAACACTGAAGTATGTAAAAGCTGATCGAACACTGATGAAAATATTGCTTCAGAATAAATTGTTTGCACCACCAAAAATCTCTGTGATGGCATGCAGTGCTATTGTGGGGATATTTTGCATGGAATACTGTCTGCTGATAAGAAAAGTTCACTGTATATCTTAGTAATAAATATAATTTATTAGGGCTGGGTAAAAAATATCGATATCTCTATATTAATCGATTCTCATTTTTACGGAACAATATAGATTCTTAAATCCCAAGAATCGAAGCATAATTATTCACAACAGCATGTGTTGATTTGCTATAAGACATTTCAGACTGTGAGATGACATCGCGCACGTTAACTGAGAGAAACGTTCATGGATCTAAGAAGTGTGTTTGTTTTTGCTTTGTAATAAGAGTTCGGCACAAACGCGATTCATTCACTTGGTGAGCATAACCGTTTTTACAGCTCTGTGACACAACCGGTCAAAAGGCTTATATACGCAGCAGAATAAGCCTTAAAAGTTCTCAGAGGTGCAACAGCGCGTTCATATATACGTTTTCGATGTAGAGTGCAAATGGCTGTGCATTTATTTGTGTTTTTAACTCGATGGGAGCAAAATTAAACTGTCTGAATGCGAAGCCATGTGTGTTGTCTGTCTCCCCTCTTCCCCCTCCTCTGCTCGCTGGCGCACCACGCCCACTTTTTTATCGTTTTTTAAAGGGGTCATATGATGCGATTTCAAGTTTTCCTTTCTCTTTGGAGTGTTACAAGCTGATTGTGAATAGATAAGATCCCTAAAGTTGCAAAGACTAAAGTCTCAAACCCAAAGAGATATTCTTTATCAAAGTTAA